TAAATTCGTTCTAACAGTTGAGTTATAACTATTTTATCATTACCAAGATAGTTAAATTTGTCTGACTATATCAATGGTTTGGGAACACATAAGTGAGACTTTTTCTTTACAAGAAAAATAATCAAATTAAACTATGTAAAATAATTTGAATTTGTCCAAAGATAATAATAACGACTACTCTCAAACCTCAAATCAATTTAAATAAATTTTAAACAACAATCAATTGTATCAATATATTTAATTTTCACACAAATTGAAACTTTTTCATCACAATTCCATCATCAAACTTTCTCAAAATGTTAATATCCATATTGTGTATCCCACATTAATATATTGTGTATCCCACATTAATCTATCAATGCAAAACACAAATACATAGATACACAATTCATCTTTTAAATAATTTATGATAGTATTTTAGTGATTAACGTAAGATTATAGTGGTCAAAAGTTGATAATGTCACGCCCCGAGCCTACACCCCAGACGTGACTGGCACTCGAGAACCATTGCTGGCTCCAAGCGAACCCTTGACCTGGCTTACTTACTCAGCGGAAGACTTAAACTCAACAAAATAAGTTTATATAGTAAACTAGAATGTTATAAAAGAACATTCAACTAGCTATTAAGGCAAACTCAAGTCTCAACATGGAAAAATGACAATGAAAAGACTAAAGAACTAACATCTGACTGTCTATGAAGCCTCTAAAACAATGGAGATGGATGTCAGGATAGGACCCCCGATCATCCTAACAAATGAAATACTACAAAGAACTAAAAGCAATAAAGGAGTCCTCCGGAATGCAATGAGGCTCACCACTGACTCTAAAGTGCTCAACTGGATCAACGATGAGCCGGATGCCAATCCTAGTTACCTATATCTGCATCATAATACGATGTAGACCAACTGGCATCAATACATTGAATGTACGAGTATGCGAGTTGAAATGCTAAACACAACATAGGCTTGAAAAGAATCTGAAAGGAACTGAAGAACTTACCTGGCTCAACTCAACTCAACATAACTGAACTCATTTCAATATAAAGCAGTTTAAAACAAGTGCAATATAAAGAAAAGCTATTTAAAACAGGATGTCAACTCTGTGTGTATGCAAAGATACAAATAACTCTGAGATGTATGTAAAAATACAAATAAACTGATGTATATAAAAATACAAAGTACTGATGTGGGAGTTTCTCTAACCAACAACCATCACATAAGAGCTATTGTGATGATACATCGATCTCCCTCACGCTGCAACACATCCTATACCTTGCCACAGATATAGGACCTGAACTACTAAGTGGATCCACTAGTCTATGCGCTTCATTTAGAAAGCGATTACTCTTTTCTGAAAACTAACCCGAAGGCCCTTTGGAAATCGAGGTTTCCTTTCTTGTTTAAATGTGAAAACATTTTAAACCCTTTGGGAATACATAGTTCCCATATACTTTTGAAGAAATGGACTTCAAACTTTACTCTTTACTCAACTTGAACTTTAAGTCTTAAAAAAAAGTTAAAACATTTGGAAAAGACTTTTGGAAGACTCTAAGAACTTCTATTGACTTTGATCTTAACTGCTCTTGACTTGACTCTTAACTGGTCCTTGAATTGAATTATGGATTCAAGGATTTTGATTTGTGATTGGAAAGATCACATGATGTTTAGGAATGATTTTAGATAGCTAAACATGAGAAAAAACCGAAAATCAATATTTGAGGGTAGGTCCGCGACGCGGAGAAGCTTTTACAATGTAGTTTCAAAAACTGCTTTTGAGGCAGAACGGTCTGTGACCGCTCCGCGATGCTAACCGAATTTTCCCAAATCTGGTAGGTAGCTCCGAGACGCGGAGGTAGTGCCAAATTTCGACTGACGAAATTTCTTCTTCGTTTTTCAATTCTAAACCCTCTAAACTCTGTGGGTTCTTTTACCCAACACTTATAATCGATTAAATGTTCAAAGTACATCAGATTCTACTCAAAATCGAACCTAAAATCACAGATTATGATCAAACAACTCCTCAACGAATTCAACGAAACAAGAATCTAATGAAACTTCAACAAACCCATTCAAGAACTCAATTTCTAAGCTTTCAAGAACTTAAATTCGCTAAAATAAATCATGATTGGCGCGTGGGCGAATTAACCCAACGCTATGTGATCTCACATACCTTGTAGGGATCACCCTCGATGAAATCCACAAGCTAAACTCGACGAACTTGACGATTTCCTTGCTTCTCCTTTTCTTTTCTCCTCTTGTTTCGTCTTCTCTAAAACCCTAACTCTTTTCCAAAAGCGTAAAACTAACCAAGTTCAGTTTAGACCCTTAATTAATTCACTAAAACGAATTTAATTACTTGGATAAGGAAAAGACTGAAATACCTTTCAAAAATCCAAATTGGACATTTCCTTATTTGAACAACCCAACTTCCAATGGGCGTACTTCACTCATACGAACTCGGAATCACGCAAATTTGGCAGAGTTGGAAAGATCATTCCAAGGGCTTTCCAACCATATCTGGAATCACACCTAACTCATCCTGAACTAGGAATTATGGCTAGGGCTGGGCATAAACACCGAAAAATCGAAAAACCGAACCGAACCGAATTATTTCGGTATTTCGGTTTCGGTATTTCGGTTTTCGGTATATATTTTTGTATTTTTCGGTATTTCGGTTCGATTTTCGGTATGTAATTTTTGTATTATTCGGTTTTTTGGTTTACCGAAATAATATTATATTATATTATAATATATATTAATATTAAATAATGAATATTATAATTTAATAATTTATATTTTATAGGTAAATTAGGTCAAAGAGACAGAGCACTTTTCAAAGTTCAAACTTTTCTAATTTGCCGCAGCCCGCACATCGTTCAGTTTCCCACTTTCCAGTTTCCACTTCCGGGCTCCGGCGTCGACCGGCCGATCAGCGGCAGGCAGCACGCAACAGTCCAGCACGCAACACGCAGCAGCTCAGCGGTAGCATGCAGCAGACTGGCAGCACGCAGCAGCCGCCAGTCGACCAACACTCAGGCATCACCACAAAAAAGATGTACTACTAATTTAATTAATCTAAGGACCACTTATTTTTTGCCCATTAAGCTGAAAAATCAAACAAAAAAATTACAAAATTTTAAATTTTAAAAGCTCACCAAACAGGTCCTAAAAAAAACCAAACCGAATTAATAAAAACCGAACCGAACCGAAATAATTCGGTTCGGTGTTCGGTACGTGTGGTACAAGAACCGAAAACCGAAAAAAAAAAATCAAAACCGAACCGAATTACCGAATGCCCAGCCCTAATTATGGTCATTTGAAGTTGACCAAAAACTCACTTTAATACCTTTACCAAATTTCCAGATTTTTAAATTCTTCCCAAAAATAACTATTTCCAGATTTTAAACTTCCTTCTAGTTCTTTCTAGTTGTGAGGTGTTATAGATGATCTTCCAACGAAGCTAATAATTGAGAAAAGTGAATTATATGCGAAGGAAATATCTAATTACATAGATAACTTTGAGTAAAAATATTATTAGTGCTTGAGATAAGTGTCAAAAATGCATCTAAACTATCCCATTTTTTTGAGTTTCATACCTAAACTATCGAGAGTGTGAGTTTCATACCTAAACTATCACTTTTTAGTTTAGGAAACACACCTCAGTGGTGTGTGTAATGTACTCTCTCTTTTATTTGAAAAAACCTTGACATATGACATTCCATGTGGATAAAATATTCCACCTTAACAAAAATTAAATAATAAACTATTAATATATTTTTTACTTCACCCTCCCTCACCTACCCCTTCCCAAAAAAAAAACACTCACTCATTCCCCCAAAAAAATTATATTATTTTATTTTAACAAATATGCTACCCCATCCTATTTAACTCTCCACTTCTGATTTATTTATTTATTTTACATTTTTCTCGTTTTGTGTTATATATGTACATATATTTCTAGGATTTATTTTTTTTACTTGTGTACCATATATAACATAAATACAAAATTTATTTTAAAAAAGTCTTGCGGCGGCAAGTGACAAATATTATATATATAACACAAAACGAGAAAGAAGCGGAGGGTTATGTGACTAGTGGATAGAATTATTTTTTTTAAAATAAAATATCTAAATTAGTATTGGAGGGGAAGGGGGATGAAGTAAAAAAATTAAATACTTTTATAAAAGATATTTAAACAAAAAAAAACTAAAAAAAGGGTGCCGGGGGGGGGGGGGAGGAAGTGAATGGACTGGGGTAAGAAAAATATTTTACTTTTTTATTTTATAAAAAATATTATTATTTTGGGATAATAATTATAATCTTTAATTTTAACTAATACTAATAATTTATTTATTTTTTGTCAAAGTAAAATATTTTGTCCATGTGGAGTGTGATATGATAGTTTTTTAAAATAAAAGAGAGAGTATATTACACACCATGATGAGAGTGATATAAAAGAGAGAGAGGTGTGTTTCTCATCTCAAATTAATAAGTGATAGTTTATGTATGAAACTCACACTTTCAATAGTTTAGGTATGAAACTCAGAAAATAAATATAATTTAGGTGTGTTTTTGAATCTTATCTCTTAGTGTTTCTTTTAGTGAGCATCTTAAAAGGGAGCGCATAGAGAACAACAACAGTTCCCACATACTATTTTTAAGAGCGAAAATATAATTATTATAATTGCGATTTATCTAGAAGAACTAGATTATAAATGTAAATTTTATCATATTTATACAAAAAAAAATAAAACTTATAATATTTTCCGCAAACTTAAATTCTGACCAGTGACCATAGAAAGTATTTCACATTTTTTTAAAGATAAGTTCGGACCATTTCACATAATTACAAATGTATAATGATATTTCTTATTCAAGTGGGTCCTACACTCCAATAATTCTCCTAAGTATATTTCACTAAAAAAAAAAAGGCGTGTCACTCGATTGTGCACACGTGGTATAATTAAAATCAAACGGCCAATTAGGTAAATTGACGCTATCGTCCATATAAAAACAAAACCCAATCTTCTCCATATTTCTACAACGCGTATTGCGAAATTTCCACAACTCTTCTCTTTACCGTTTCGTCTCTGTACTTATAAATCAGGTACGCCGAATTCTCTTCTCACTTTTAGTTTTGCTTTTTTATTCTTTTTGGGTGTGTGTATATACAGCTTTTAGGTTTTGACTCGTAGATTTTTTATACAGCTTTGCGAGAATTGGTGCAGCTTTTTAGGCGTTGACCGTTTTGGTTTATTTCCGAATTTGAATTATCCGACTATCAGGTAGCTTTTTGATGTAATTGATGCTTTATTTGGTTTGGTTTGGTTTTATGTAGTTGAAATACTGGATTTTAGTTTAGATCTATGCATTTTTTGTGTGAAAATAATGAATTTACAGTTTTTTGAGAGATATAGATGTACCTAAGCTGAAAACATGAATTTCGGTTAGATCGTTCAGGGCTATAATTGTAAATTTTCAATAATTCGGTTAGATCTATGTATATTTGTGTGCTTTAAAAGCATGATTATGAGTTGGTTTTAGATCTATGTATATTTGTGTTCATAAAAGTATGGATTATGAGTTGGTTTAGATCTATATATATATATATATATATATATATATATTTGTATACTTGAAAACATGGATTATGAGTTAATTTTAGATCCATAGAACGATCTGTGCTAAAGGCTTTAATTTTGACTAGATAGATATAACTTATTCTTTTGGAGAAGGTGTATGGATGTGAGTTAAGCGCAAAGGTATTTAAGTTGATTGTAGTTCTTTTCCCCTAAAAAAGCATTATCAAGAATATAAAGAGATGTTTTTCTTATCATGGTTGAGTGGATTTTGTGTGTTAGGTTGTGTCATGTGTTTGGTCGAAAGGGTGTGTCTGGTAAAAGGGGAAGCCCAGCCTTTTGGGCTTTCGCTGCTACTAGACACCTCGGTGAAGCTTTGCACATTTTAGCCTCTGCAAAACTCTTGCTTGTTGATTACTGATATTAAGAGGTGTCTGGTAGTATGTGGATCTCTTCTTGAATTTGTTCATTTGTATACTTTCCTGTTGTATGACTTTAATGACCTAAGCTATATTGGCAATTGAGACTTTGTCAATTGGAACTTTTAGCTTTAGTTTTGGACAATAGCTGCCCAAAATGAGATCCGTCTTATATGTGCTTGTGACTGGGGATGACTTAGTTGCTGCGCCAACCTTGCTTCTTGTGTTGTGGCACACCTTGAACTTGATAGGAAAATTCATCAAATTGGTCCAGTGATACCAGCAATCTTCGAAGAGGCTGGTTCCCATACCTCATTTTATTAAGAGGGACTCAGACCGGTGTATTGACCACCTAACCTCTATAGGAGATTGGTAAAGGAGGTCACACAGACCAAACTAACCCCTAATTCTTTGGTTTTTCTTAATTGAAATGCAATATTACCAATTATTATTAATCTATCGAAAATAAGGCAAAAAATCATCAACTGTAGTATCATAACTTGACAAGAAGGCAGGTATACTAATTTAAGCGCACAACTTCCCGCAATATCAATTTTGCAATATGATTATTAGTGATATTGGTGGTTGTGTTTTTTTTTTTTTTTTTTTTTATGACAAGGGAAATCCGCAGCCACTATCCTTTTGGGTGCGCACAGGGTAAAACCCCCGCTCCTATGCAATAGCTCGCAAATCACATAAGAGATGTAACCCGTACTAGGCAAGCCCGGTGCGACGAGCTCGACCCATAAGACAAACCCCTTGCTTTCGCTGGCAGAGTTTCGAACTTGAGACCTCCAATATGGAAGTCACAAGCCCAAACCATTGGGCCACCCCGAAGGGTATATTGGTGGTGGTGTTATGCATGTGTAATGAAAGAAATCTGTTTTTTCGGGAAAAATTTCTTCGAATAACTGTCATATTGTAATATTGAATTTTTAAGTAAGATGGACTTATATATCAAGGTAGCAATACTGGATAGAAGATTCTTTTAAAAGAACGAAAATAAATATACCTTTTGAAGAAGGAATCAAATTGTTCTTGTTCCATCATATTAATTATATACTAGCATTCAAAGATTAAACAAGCGTGTCACTATTAACTTTGGGCACAGTCTTTCTTTTCTTTTTACTTTCGTATCGGTGTCCACTACTTGTATTGAAGTTTGATTAATTTATATTTGTGTCGTGTAAGACGTATCTAAGAATTTAAGAATTTTTGGATTTGCGCCGTGAAAATCCGATCAGGAAAAGCATTTTTTTGCTAATAATTTTCTTCATATTCAAAACTTGAAATTATTGCTTGCGCTCTTAACACACTTTCAACTTTAATCCTCTGAAACAAATGCCACATTTTATAATTTTTAAAAAATCATTCATTTTCTAATCAATTAATTTACTAAAAAACTGTCACAATAATTAGAAAATGGTTGTGTGTGGGGGGAGGGGGTGGGGGCAGTAGTGTAAAATGGCCTGTGCTCCTGTTGTGACATGGTGCAGACTGCGACGACATTCAGAACCCTACTCAAATTGGGATAGGCAATCACGTAATTCCTGATTAAAGTCGGGTTTATTTGGTCAATTTACCAAGTGCTCCAGCTATAAAGATACCGTACACCACCCAAAACCCTCCTTCTCGAGCCCTCACTAGTCCGTCGTTTTCTTCCTCTCTCTAACTATTAATCCTCCCTTTTAGAGAGAGAAAGCAAAAGGCTACTCTTCAACCATGTTAACCATGTTGGTTTATCAGGATATCCTCACCGGTAATCTTCTATCCTTTTTCAGTTTTCTAATTTTTTTTTGTAGTTTCTGTGCTCTTTGCTATATTTTGTGTTAAAATTTTATAGTAAGTTGTAATATTGAGGTTAGAGTAGTTTTGTTTTAGCATTCTGTTTAGTGAATCTTTCTTGGATGATTGGCGCTTGTTGATGATTCCACTTTTGTTTTACGATAATGGAATTTTGCGCAGATTTCTGTTTATTTGATGTTTGATATGAAGTTGTTAATAAGATCTGGTTGAGTTGTGACTGATGTTACTATGTGGTCTGCATAAGGGCCCTAGACTATCAAGGCGACGTTGTCTCTTTCTTCTTTTTTCATAGGGAATTAAGGAACTAGATCTACTAATCTGGATCTTAGATTTTAACACCGTCTTGTAGAGGATTTGTTCTCAATGTTTTTGACCTTGCTTTATGATCTAATATTGTATATTAGAGCCATATATGAGTAATTTGGATCTGAAAAGTCTTGATATAGGTTGCTTCTAGTTTAGCTAGACTTGTGCCTCATGTTATTTAGGAAATCCTAGTTTTATGTATCTGGATACTGCAAATTTATGTAACCAACACAAAAAGATGTATGTTTTGCAAGTCCCAAAAGTTGGAGGTCTCAAGTTCAATACCACTTGCCAGTGGGTTTGCCTTCTGGGTCGACCTCACACTTGCCTAGTGTGGGTTGACCTGTGTGGTTTGCGAGCTATTGCATTATGTATTTTGAATCTATATTTTTAAAATTTAACAATTCAATGTTAAGAACTTAAAGATCAAAACGAATAAATTTATATCTTAGATGCATCTTTTCATAATAATACACCATCCTTCTGAAATTGTGAATACGTCTCTGAATGTGATGCATTTGAAACATTATAATACGAAGTCATTGTAAGTTGAGTAAACCTGGGAAGTGCATATGTAAAATTACCCAGGAATATGGTTATTCACCCATTGAAAATTACTTTGATAAATAAGATACAAGTATGTCAAACACATCTAAGCGAAAAATAGAAAGAAAAAAAAGTGCATAGATTTCAATTGTATACCCTTCTTCACCCGCCCTAAGCAAGATTAGTTCATGCATCTTCTGCGTAGTACTAACGCAAACTTGTCCTCGGGATACAATATATTGTTCGAGAAATGTCCAAATATACCCTCATACTATGCAAAATTAAGCATATTTTCCCTCCGTTAATACTTCAAATCACTAATGCCCTTAGCGTCAAATATTTGGTCCAAAACATGTTGTGCAAGTCAGGCTATAAAATTCTCTCTTTAACCCAACACTCCTGCAGCCTTCGGAGATATAAAGTTAGTAAGGGAGAAGTGACTACAACAACAACATACCTATTGTAATTCCACAAGTCAAGTCTGAAGGTAGGATGTATGCACATCTTACCCGTACCTTTGTAGGGTAGAAAACTCTCAACCTAAAAAAGAAATTAAAGGGCTCTTTAGTCGCAGTTAGTACCGATGAGGATGTACAAATTTACAAACAATGACAAGACATTTTGTTCTAATACAAAGCACTTAGATACAAGATCCAGTTTTGACAGAAGCTCAAGTGTTTTCTTCCAAGTTCAAACATTCCTATTATTACAAAGTAAAAACTATATATTTTATCAAATGAGAAGTCCCCAAAGCAATGAACATGCATCTTTTGAATTGACAATTGCTCCAACTATATATAATTCGTTGCAAAATTTGAAGTAAAGTTTGGCTCGGATTTTGTGCACCTCAAGTCAATCAGCTGAGTCTTTTAGGTTGAATACCAGAAGGATGGGCCTCCTCAATACGTCTGGTAAGCAATGATATTCCGTAATGTGAGGCACTTGAAGAAGTGTAATATGAAGTCATCGTAAGTTGAGTAAACCTTGGAAGTGCATATCCTGTAATGTAAAATTTGGTCATTTACACATCAAAAATTACTTTCATAAATAAGATTAAAGCATGGGAAAAGATCTTTGATTATTGTCATTAAAGTACTTTCCAGTGAATGTAAAAATGAGTGGCTACTTTATTTTCCTTTAAATGACACTTTCAATGAATTATTCCTTCAAAATATTGTAAACAACCTAATTTATTGATATACGAAATTCTAGTTTAGAAAAATAAAGTGAAGAAATACTTCTTTGGGACAAGTAGGGGGAGAGGGTTAGGTGGGCCTGCCTTTTCAATCAATCAATCTCTTGGCGCTTGGTGCCGAGCACATCTAAGAGAAAAATAGAAAAAGAAGTGCATGGATTTCAATTCGATACCCTTCTTTACCCACCCTAAGCAAGATCAGTTCAGCAGGCCAATTCACGCATCTACTGCAGAGTACTAGCGTTAGCCTTATGAGCTAACTTGTCCCCTGAATACAATCTATTGTTCTGGAAAGGTCCAAATATACCCTCATACTATGTGAAATTGAGCATATTTTTCCTCTGTTTATACTTCAATTTACTTGAGCCCTTAGCATCAAGTACTTGGTCCAAATACGCTCTTATTCTACTCAATTGCGCATAGTATTTGGACCAAATATTTGACGGTAAGGGCATAAGTGAACTAAAGTACTAACGTAGGGCAAATCTGCTCAATTTTGCATAGTATAAGGGTATATTTGGACCTTCTCTGTATATTTTTTAAACTTGGTACCAAGAATAAGTACGACAAAGCAATAACTAAAAAAATTAAGTCTAGTAAAGTCAATTATGTCTACAATTCTCCAAATTTAGAAGTATTTGAATCTTCGGATCCTTGATTGTGCCTGGCATGACACTACTGTTCACTGACCACGCCTCTTATTCAAGTGCTCAACATTTCTTATCGTGACAAGAAGATGCTCATATCTTGAAGAAGACAATTAACCTTAGCATAACAGAAAGTTTGCTCAACCATGATCTGAAACTAACAAGTTCGAATATATGGCATACATTCAACAAGATACGGGTACCAGAACATGTGAAATTTTCTTATAAGAAAAAATACGGGTACATGAACTGTAGAAGACACAAAATTTGTGGACTACTACACTTTTGACATTGAGCTGTAAGAAATGAAAATGTGCTTAAATTTATTTTATATGCATAGATTGCAGTTTTTGTGGCTACTTAGTTCACATGATATGAGAATGAACTTGTCAACCACATGGCCACGGAAGCTACATGTGTGATGTAACCTTTTCTTCTCTTCGAGAATTATTTCCAGGTGAGGTTCGTCTACTTTTCCATCAAGTGTCATAGCACTTCCTTAGTGCTGGTTTAAACATCAGTCATGCTCATCACAACAACATTTTCAGTGTAGTCCCACAAAGTTGGGTTTGGGAAGGATAAAGTGTATGCAAACCTTACCCCTATCTCAAGGTAGAGAGACTATTTTCGATAGACCTTACCTCTACTACAAAGTGGGGTTTAGACATCAGTCATTCAAAAATAATATAAAATGCACCCTGTTGATCCCACATTATATTATTACAACAATTATCTTACTTGGTCGATTAAGGTACAACTTTAAAATACGACAGATCAACACTAGAGTTATTTCTGATATATGTGATAGTTAGCTTCTCACTTAATGGAACATGAAAATACAAGACCTTTCGAGAACTAGTGATATCTCTCACCAAAAATATGTTATTTCCATCAAAAAAGTAACTGGAGTAAGTTTGAACAAGTGCGAAAGCAGTTTTTCGTCAAGTTTAAAGAATCAAAGAGATTCTACTCTATGTACAACAAGAAACATATCAATGTATGTCTTTTTTATTACAACATTCTTTTCACATCCATTATAAATTTTGGTTCCTTAAAGGATATAGTTGAAAGCAATGTTCATTAGAAGTAGATAAGCAGGGAGTGAAAATATAACCAACAATTATATACTTGCGTAAAACGAAAGATTATACATTAGGTTTTCTTAAATACTCAAAATACTGATGGGATAAAGTGATATCCAATTATATTAAGATAGAGAAAGTAAACTAAAACAGAGATGCTCAATATATATCCTAGCAAGTAATTATTGCATTAACCTTCAAATTACCTACTTTTAAGTATTGGTGCATAGGGAAGTATTGTTGCTGAGGGTTACTTATCAAAAAAAAAAAGTTAATATGTCGAGTGTCATGACAACTTTATCATCAATTCATAACGTAACACATGCTAAATTGAAAGAATAAAGATTAGAATGAAATAAGAAATTCATAGAATTACCCCCCAAATGTTGCGCTAGCTGCAGAGAACATGAGTAGTGGAGGAAGCTACAAGAACAAAACAAAGGGAAAGGTGAAGCTTTAGATAACACATCAATTGTATACTCAACTATACATAGATTTCTGTACAACACAAATCAAGAATACAATGAATAGGATTTAGAGAGGAAGAAAAGAGTTTAAGATCAGAAATGTGGATTAAGTGCCTACCCCTATAACAAATGGAAGCCACTTTGGACCCTTCACGCATCTCTGGGCAAAGGGAATTCCTGAAAAGTACTAGCATTAAGACTTCAGCTATGAATTCATTAAATAAAAGATAGGGAAGTATTTAGTTTAAGATTTCAACCACGATTTACTATAAGGAGAGTAATACAATAAAGAAAACAAAGATAAGCACAGAAGAGATGTAATTTAGAAAAGAGTAGGAAAATAATGTACTTAGGTCTTGTGAGATTTATGTAAATTGTACCTTTTTATTTTCCTACTTTTGGGCCATAATGCTCCAAAACTCAAGTCCAACATCCATTACAGGCCCAATCTCAAATCATCTTATATCGTATTCTACACACGAGCTGAAAGGTTCTCTTTTTTTGCTTCTCCCTCAATTGACATGGGAACACGAGAGGTATACGAAGAAAAATTGAAGAGAGGGAATCTGCATCATGATCCAACAATTAAACCTGGCCTCGGCTCTGCTAGATGTCCTCGTTGTCTTTCTCTCTTGAACTCCAATTCAGTATGTATCATGTTCTACTCGTTTTTTTGTGTTTTGTAATTGTCCACATCTTGCCTAGTACATGCTTGATGAAATGCCTAGCTAGTAATTTGAGTTGTTTCTGTTTGATTTCGGTTGCAGAAAAGTGGAGAATGGGCGATTACTCCTGTTCTACATGATTTCACGGCTGTGGTTAGTATGCTATATTACCTGTTTCGAATGGTATTTGAACTGCAAGATCGAACTAGCCAAATCTGTTGTTATGATTAAAATTTACCTAAGTAGTCACAAATTTTAAGATTGAATGGTGTTGGTATTTGTGATCAAAGTCCCACTTTGGTAATTGAAAATAAAAAGTAAGCTATTAATGATAAGTGTTGGTTATCTTAGGAGTCGTTTAGTGTGAGAGATAAGGTATAATAATCTTAGGGACTGAATGCGGGATTATTTTATCTTGCGTCTGGTTAGAGGTATTAGGCAGTCTTGAGATTATTTATCCCACTATTTAGACCTTAGTAATGGAATAAATTATCTCATATACACGGTGAAATAACTTATATCCCGATGATTAATTTCGGTATAACTTGTTCTCAACTAAGCGACCCCTTAATAGTATGAGGCCCTTTAGGGAAACTGTACATGCTTGTCCCAAAGCGGACAATATAACACATGTTAAGTGTATCTTTCAGTTGTTTAACTTAATGATTGCGAGATGAGTAGGGAGATGATGTAGTGATGGTGTAGGGACCAGCTCCGAATTAGCCCATGAATGGTAATGGATCATGTGGAACTTAGTTAATAAGGAAAATTGTTGTGTGTCCACAAACAAAATCCATACTAGTAGCTAAAAAGAAACGTAAACTACTTATAAGTTGTTGAATCCTCTTCTTGAGATTGGTAACCTAGCCCAAAACCATGGTCATGGAAAAAAGTATGGGGATAGTCTTAATGGCGTGAGGCCCTTTGGGAAATCGTGCAGGCTTGGGCCAAAGCACAATATCACACCATGTTGATGCTGAAAGTGGTTGATGCCGAAGAGCTCTTAATGTTATATGAATATTTTGTATATGTCCAAAACTTCAAAATTTTGTTTCATAGTAAATTGGAATTGAGCTTAGTTGAGTTCAATGCAGAGGAAAGTGTCTATTGTGACCCCTGAAAGGGTTTCGTTTTTGAATGTCTTCCACCTGAAAATCTGAAAGACTATCTTTTACCTGAAGTCGAATATTTTACCCTTGTCTTACTAATCATAATTTTTATAATCGATTGGACAAGGCTAATAAAGCCATAGTGAACAGAGTTATAGCGCAATCATAATATGAAGAGCTTTTACCAACTAGTTAAAGTAATATTCTTTACCTTTGTGTAGGCTGGCTCTGGAATTGGTGGACTGCTCAGTGCAATTCATGGTTTCAATACAGGCATGATTAATTAATCATCTCTTCTGTGCTTATCTTTCTTTTCTTTATTGTATTACTCTTCTTGTAGTAAATCGTGGTTGAAATCTTAAACTAAATACTTCCCTCTCTTTTATCTAATGAATTCATAGCTAACGTCTTAATGCTAGCACTTTTCAGGAATTCCTTTTGTCCAGAGACACGTGAAGGGTCCAAAGTGGCTTCCATTTGTTATAGGGGTAGGCACTTAATCCACTTTTCTTATCTTAGACTCTTTTCTTCCTCTTTTATTCCTATTCATTGTATTCTATTTATAGTTGAGTATACAATTGATGTGTTATCTAAAGCTTCACCTTTCCCTTTGTTTTGTTCTTGCAGCTTCCTCCACTACTCGTGTTCTCTGCAGCTAGCGCAACATTTGGAGGTAATTCTATGAATTTCTAATTTCATTCTAATCTTTATTCTTTCAATTTAGCATGTGTTACGTTATGAATTGATGATAAAGTTGCCATGACACTCATCATATTAACTTTTTTTTTGATAAGTAATCCTGAGCAACAATACTTCCCTATGCACCAATACTTAAAAGTTGGTAATTTGAAGGTTAATGCAATAATTACTTGCTAGAATATATATTGGATATCTCTGTTTTAGTTTACTTTTTCTATCTTAATATAATTGAATATCACTTTATCCCATCAGTGTTTTGAGTATTTAAGAAAACCTAATGTATAATCTTCTGTTTTACGCAAGTATATAATTGTTGGTGATATTTTCACTCCTTGTTTATCTACTTCTAATGAACATTGCTTTCAACTATATCCTGTAAGGAATCATGAAAAGAATGCTGTAATCAAGAAGACATACTTTGATCTATTTCTTGTTGTACGTAGAGTAGAATCACTTTGATTTTTTATTTTTTTTTTATAAGGGTAACATGAATCACTTTGATTTTTTAAACTTGACGAAAAACTACTTTCGCTCCTGTTCAACCTTACTCCAGTTACTTTTTCGATGGAAATAACATATTTTTGGTGAGAGATATCACCCGTTCTCGAAAGGTCTTGTATTTTCATATTCCATTAAGTGAGAAGCTAACTATCACATATATCAGAAATAACTCCTCTAGTGTTGATCTGTCGTATTTTAAAGTTGTACCTTAATCGATCAAGTAAGGTAATTGTTGTAATAATATAATGTGGGATCAACAGGGTGCATTTTATTTTATTTTTGAATGACTGATGTCTAAACCCCACTTTGTAGTAGAGGTAAGGTCTATCGGAAATAGTCTCTCTACCTTGAGATAGAGGTAAGGTTTGCATACACTTTATCCTTCCCAAACCCAACTTTGTGGGACTACGCTGAAAATGTTGTTGTGATGAGCATGACTAATGTTTAAACCAGCACTAAGGAAGTGTTATGACACTTGATGGAAAAGTAGACGAACCTCACCTGGAAATAATTCTCGAAGAGAAGAAAAGGTTACATCACACATGTAGCTTCCGTGGCCATGTGGTTGACAAGTTCATTCTCATATCATGTGAACTAAGTAGCCACAAAAACTGCAATCTATGCATATAAAATAAATTTAAGCACATTTTCATTTCTTACAGCTCAATGTCAAAAGTGTAGTAGTCCACAAATTTTGTGTCTTCTACAGTTCATGTACCCGTATTTTGTTGAATGTATGCCATATATTCGAACTTGTTAGTTTCTGATCATTGTTGAGCAAACTTTCTGTTATGCTGATGTTCGTCTTCTTCAAGATATGAGCATCTTCTTGTCACGATGAGAAATGTTTAGCACTTGAATAAGAGGCATGGTCAGTGAACAATAGTGTCATGCTAGGCACAATCAAGGATCCGAAGATTCAAATACTTTTAAATTTGGAGAATTGTAGACATAACTGACTTTACTAGACTTAGTTTTTTTAGTTATCGCTTTGTCGTACTTATTCTTGGTACCAAGTTTAAACAATATACAGAGAAAGTCCAAATATACCCTTATACTATGCAAAATTGAGCAGATTTGCCCTACGTTAGTACTTTAGTTCACTTATGCCCTTACCGTCAAATACTTGGTCCAAATACTATGCGCAATTGAGCAGAATAAGGGCGTATTTGGACCAAGTATTTTATGCTAAGGGCTCAAGTAAATTGAAGTATAAACGGAAGAAAAATATACTCAATTTCACATAGTATGAGGGTATATTTCGACCTTTTCAGAACAATAGATTGTATCCAGGGGACAAGATAGCTCATAGGGGTGACGCTAGTACTCTGCAGCAGATACGTGAATTGGCCTGCTGAACTGATCTTGCTTAGGGTGGGTGAAGATAGGTAGCCAATTGAAATCCTTTTTCTATTTTTCTCTTAGATGTGCTCGGCACCGAGCTCCCAGAGATTGATTGAAAAAGCAGGCCCACCCGACCCTCTCCCCCTACTTGTCCCAAAGAAGTATTTCTTCACTTTATTTTTCAAAACTAGAATTTCGTATATCAATAAATTATAGCTCTTTATAATATTTTGAAGGAATAATTCATGGGAAAGTGCCATTTAAAGGAAAATAAAGTAGCTACTCATTTTTACATTCATTGGAAAGTACTTTAATGACAATAATCAAAGATCTTTTCCCATGCTTTAATCTTATTTATGAAAGTAATTTTCGATGTGTAAATGACCAGATTTTGCATTACAGGATATGCACTTCCAAGGTTTACTCAACTTACGATGACTTCATATTACACTGCTTCAAGTGCCTCACATTACGGAATATCATTGCTTACCAGACGTATTGAGGAGGCCCATACTTCTGGTGTTCAACCTAAAAGACTCGGCTGATTGACTTGAGGTGCACAAAATCAGAGCCAAACTTTACTTCAAATTTTGCAACGAATTATATATAGTTGGAGCAATTATCAATTCAAAAGATGCATGTTCATTGCTTTGGTGACTTCTCTTTTGATAAAATATATAGTTTTTACTTGGAAGAAAACACTTGAGCTTTTGTCAAAACTGGATCTTGTATCTAAGTGCTTTGCATTAGAACAAAATGACTTGTCATTGTTTGTAAATTGGTACATCCTCATCGATGCTAACTGCGACTAAAGAGCCCTTTAATTTCTTTTTTTAGTCTAGAGTTTTCCCCCTCTCAAAGGTATGAGTAAGATGTGCATATATCTTACCTTCAGACTCGACTTGTGGAATTACACTAGCTATGTTGTTGTAGTTACTTCTCTATTACTAACTTTATATCTCTGAAGGTTGAAGGAGTGTGGGGTTGAAGAGAGACTTTTATGGCCCGACTTGCACAACATGTTTTGGACCAAGTAATTTTGACGCTAAGGGCATTAGTGATTTGAAGTATTAACGGAGGGAAAATATGCTTAATTTTGCATAGTATGAGGGTATATTTGGACGATTTCGGAACAATATATTGTATCTCGAGGACAAGGTTGCGTTAGCACTACGCAGAAGATGTGTGAGCTAATCTTGCTTAGGGCAGGTGAAGAAGGGTATCCAATTGAAATCTATGCACTTTTTTTCTTTCTATTTTTCGGTTAGTTGTGTTTGACATACTTATATCTTATTTATCAAAGTTATTTTTAATGGGTGATTGACCATATTCGTTGGTAATTTTGCATATGCACTTTCTAGGTTTATTTAACTTACAATGATTTCATATTATAATGTTTCAAGTGCATCACGTTCAGAGGTGTATTCACAATTTTAGAAGGATGAGTGTTTTATTATGAAAAGATGCATCTAAGATATAAATTTGTCCGTTTTGATCTTTAAGTTCTTAACATTGAATTGTTAAATTTTTAAAAATATAGGTTCAAAATATATAATGCTACTAGTTTTAAATTTGAGATAAGAATAAAAAACACATCTAAACTGATAAGATGAGAGATTCGAGAAGACGAAAGTACCTTTGTTTGTATTGTGTGTAGATCTGTAAAACTGTTTGATTTATTGCTCAACTCTTTTTGGCAGTTAGTTTTTGGTGGAAATTCTGAAATTTTTGACTTTCCTTTCAATTTCGTATTTTCGTTAAATTACTAGTTTACCCTCAATTGATTGGGCCTCCTTAACCTGACAAATGGTTAGTAAACCTATGGCCCAAATCCAACCACGTACATGTCCTTTTCTTTAGATAACTTTCATTTCGAATTCGTTTTTTATTTTTAAAAACTTGTGCAAATGTAAACTCGAGATAAATTATACTTTTGAATTATTTTACATTTTGGTCTAATGATTGTTTTGCTCGTACTGTTTTCAATCTTAATACTCTATTTGATTGTCAACTAACGCTCGTCATAATTTATATTATAAGAATGTGGTTTAATATTTTCTTATTAGATTTTTTGTTTGTTTCGAAGAAAGATTATGATTTAAAGTGTCCTTAAATTATAATAAGAAAGTAAACATTTATTAAACAGATGTCCTAAAATGGGATATTGGACGAAAACCAAACAGACAAAGTAGAAACTATTGTCCAATTTTGATTTTTTCCTGTATCGTTCAATATTGTTTTGCCTGTATCGTTCCAATGTTTAGACAATCTTCAACCCACCTCTATTTTAGTCTTCATTCTTTATATTCAGAGAGTAAAAATAGAGAATGAGCAATCCAACCCCTCTTTATTTTAATCTCTATTTTTCATTTTTAGAGGTGAATATTAGTTCTACAAATTTGGAGAACCACTTTTACATTATTTTATTATTATTTCTATTGTGTAATTATCATATTATTTTACATATAATGTTATTACTTAAATATCTAATATTCGTAATTTTTAAAAATGTAATATAATATTTAAAAAATATATTATTTTAACATATACTATATTCATTCTGAATTGATAATATTTCAATTTTTAAATTTTTTTGTCACTAATATAATTTTATTTTATTATTAATTTTCACTATAACAAACGTACAATTAAAACGATAAGATGAAAATTCTAATTTAAAAAATACAATACATAACATAATAATTTAAATACAAGATAATAGCCAAATACATAAGATGATAATTTAATTACAAGATAAAAATACAATACATAAGATAATAATTTAAACACAAAAATAACAATACCATAAATAACATAATAACTTATTTATCACAACATTAATTTAGTAATCCAATAGGTTATTTCCAGATTTAGCAATATTTTGGGAAAAAATAATGTATGGTCCAGAAAATTGTTATAATTGCAGTTGTGCATATTGATTTCTTTTTCCAATTATTCATAGTTGTTCTTGTTGCATGTAATTACGAACATTTGGATCACTAATAACTTCTAAATTTATCCTTAAAATTTTATTTTCTTATATAACTTCCTTGAGTTTGATATATCTATCTAGCCTTACGCCGTCTTGTTGTTTGGATGTAGTTGACTCTAATTGTACCAACATAAATTGTGGTAGATGAAAATCTCTTATTTGAACTATTTTTAGTTAGACGTAAAAAATTAAGGATAAAAAATGTTTAATTTTGAACTCCGTAATGCATTATTAGAGCAATTTTGGGAGTAACATAATAATCTTGAAAGTTAGGTATTTATGTAACTTTTATGTAATTGTATTTCATTAATGATTTCACTTTTATTCGAATTGTGCATTAATTTGTATATTATATAATATTTGATTGCAGCTTATGCTATTTAGAAATTTAGAATAAAATATAATTTTATATTAAAAAATAATTTGAAAATAAAAATATTATATCACATGAAAATTACCCCATAAAGTGATTATTTGAAAACATAAAATGAAGCAATAATTTATGTTATGAAATAAGAAAATAAGAATGAAATAGAAATAAAAATATAATATTGAGGAGAAAGAAATAAATTATATTTTAAAGAATAAAATAGAGAATTGAGTTGGGATTGGTTTTCTAAAAAAATAAAAATTGAGTTGAAGTTGATTTAAAAAATAAATAAATCTATATTTGGAGACTAATAAAGAATATGGTTGAAGATGTTTAAAAAAAGGGTTAGTTGTACTGAATGACAAACTTATAATCTAAAATAAATGGAGTAACTACTGTTTGATTTAATTGCTCCCCGTAGCAAACGTTTGTCAGTCGCCTCTCTCCCTCCAAATTCTCGTTCACCACTCTCCCTTTCTCGCTCACTCTCTTTGTGCTCGCCTCTCTCGCTTTATACAATAGAATTGTATAAATTGTGTTTCTGTTTGTATAAAGCGAGAGAAAATTGTAGCAAATACATATATATTCGTCCTATACACTTATAATTATCCAATAAAAATATTTCCCTGCCCAGTTCTCTTTTGCGTTTCTCTCTTTCTCGTTTTATACAAACACAGATTATACAATATAATGTATAATTTATGTTTGTATTGTGTATAATTTATGTTTGTATAAAGCGAAAGAAAATTGTATATACACATGCAAATACATATATATTCGTCTTATACACTTATAATTATACAATGCAAATATTTCCCTTCCCAGTTCTCTTTCTCATTTTATACAAACACAGATTATGTTTGTATAATGTATAATTTATGTTTGTATAAAGCGAAAGAGAGAACGATTTTTGATATACAAATATTTTTGTCAATGATTTATACAAACGAGAGGCTAACAATAATTTATACAAATGGTCTACCAGCGAAATTATACAAATCTGAAGAGGAGCCAACGAATTATACAATTGCTTCTCTTTGTATATATGTATAGCGAAATAGACATAGCTTACAATTGTATATGTATAGCGAATTATACATATATATGTTTGCTATGGAGCGCAATTATGCAAACTTTGCTATAGCATACAAATATGATTTTTTTGTTTACTATATGTGAAAGTTGCTCTTAAAAGAAGATGAAAGTGAAAGTAGTAGACGATTCAATTTACAGCCCATGAAACGTGGAGCCCACCCAATTCATACTTCATAGCCCTAAAGGCGGTAGAACAGAAAAATTTCAATTTACAATAAATCTGGACTCCATTTGGTACAGTTCAAGTTTAATCTAGGAACCTTAGGCTTTCGTTTTTTTTTTCAACAAAGGGAGGAAAAAGACGAAGATCAAGCTAGGTAAGGCTTTGAATATCTTATATGTATTAGCACAGATTATGTGTATAAACTCATGCACTATCTAGGTTTTGATTGTAAAGAAGAAAAAATTTACAGATTTAAGTGTGTCTAGGTTTTGAATGTAAAAAAAGAGAGAATTTGCAGATTTAAGTGTTCTTTTTTTTTGTGTGTGTGCAGTTCTTCGGGATCAGTTTTTTGTTTTATTGGTAATCCGTGGGTTTTGACTTTTGCAGGTTATTTTAAATTCGGAATTTCCCCCATCTAAAGATGGTAGGTTTAACGAAAATCGCTTTGTGAGCTGTAGGGTTAGGGTTAGGGTTTTGAGTTCTTATGAAGCTCTAATTTTTATTTTTCTTCTGTCTCAGCTTCCCCTCTTTTTGCTCAAGACTGCACAGGGGCATCCTATGGTAAGCTTTTGAATTCATGTGGAAGAGGGGTAGTGTCTCTTTTTTTTCTCTATTCCTTGTCTATTGTTTAGTTTGATCTTATTTCTTTTCGGTGTGGTAATGCAATTAGCTCAATTAGGTTTTTCCAAGTGCTGCATGTTTTGAATGAACCTGAACTTATTAATAACATACAAAAACAACAAACCCTATGAATAAAATAGTTATAGGAATACAAGAGTGAAATTCTCATGTTGTAGCTGTTTGGAAAATTGGAGGGAGAATAACAATAATGATTTCATGTTTTGTCCTGTTGTTAGTTGAGGCTTTTGGCTAACATTCTTAAAGGCAACAGATTTTTTGTTGGTATAGTTTATCAATTTCTGCATATTTATATTGTATCTCCAAAATATGCCACAAGTCCCTGGAGCCCACGAGATTCGAGGGATTTTGAGAATTCGTATGGGATTATTCTATTTGTTCAATTATCTTAATCTGGAAACTTTTGTTTTCTAATACAGTTGGTGGAGCTAAAAAATGGAGAGACTTATAATGGTCATTTGGTGAATTGTGATACTTGGTTAAATATCCATCTTCGTGAAGTTATCTGTACGTCAAAGGTAAATTCATTGTTTTTTAATATGTTATTGCTAGGTTTTCAAGTTTGTAAACTAGTTCTGGAATGGCAGTTTCTACTTTAAGTAACTAGGACTAAACTACTTGCTTTAGTGCTATCACTCAATATGACAATGAGTTTGGAAAATCTTTAGTTTTCATAGAGAGTACACGTTAATATACACAATAATATTTTTATACACACCTAACGTGCAGGCCTGAGTTCTTTTTCCTGTGCCAAGCACACAACTTATTTTCTGATAATGGGTGGGTTGAGAATTGCACCATGTTGAGATGTGAAATGTGTGATCATTTGATGTAAAAGCTTAAGTTGTTAGGGAGAATACATTTTAATTTACTTAATAACATCTTGTACAGAACACTGAGGACGGTCCATTTACACTTTTATCGTGGTGCATTCTAGGGGCTTGGTTTGATGTAAGTAGGTGGAATCAAGATACTAGTTAATCTTGGTGTGACCAGACTCATGGATATACTTGTCTGGTTACTCACTCAATGGGGCTTTTAGGGGTGGATTTCAGTTGTGTTGTTGTAGGCTGAAGTTATGTTACTAGCTAATCTGTGGTGTCTGGGTCTATATGGCTAACTTACCTTGACATACTTGGAATCAGAGCAGGAAAGCATAGAGAACCGGGTAGAAAAGTTAAAAAAGATATTCGCATTAACACGTGTCTGAGTAATAATGCAGGGAACTTAAGGTTGAACTTACAACACAACCCTGATATTCCTAAAGGCTAAATATAAATGCATCCAATATTCTTGTTGCCTCTTTTCTATTGATAAAATAGATTCTTGAAATGAAATCATTGTTGTGTTGGGACGTTAGTGTTTTAGTCTTTGAACTTAGTGTTCTTTTCAAATAAGATGTGTAGCCAAGTGGCTTTCATATAAGATTCGGAATTTGGATAATTCTTAGTTCTTAAGTAATTATTTTTCAATATTACTTGCTTATTTTATATCAGATATTCTATACTAAAAAAAATGTAAAATGTTAGACATCATATGGTTGAACCACTATTGATGTTATTCTTTCTTGCATGCTTGTAGTCCACTGTATGTTCATTTCCCCATGACTGTGAGTAGAACATTTTTGTAAGAGGAGAATTGATTGCGCTTATGTGATGCAATTTAGCCAAATCAGACATTGTTGTGCTCTCTATGGACCGTGAATCTGACACCTTAGGTATGAGTGTGACTCTATGAAGATGGCAATGAGAGATTGTTTTAGCAATGACGAGCTTCCATGTGAAATCTAACGTTTGCAGTTTTGACTAAATAAAGCGGCGGCGTCTGCTTTCTTCTTTTATTTTCTTCTTAGAGAGTATTATGCACTCTTCCGCCCTATTTTTTTATAGCTCATGACAGTAACATATGGGAAGTTATCTTAGCTTCTCTCGTCCATTCGCCTTCCACACTTTCATAGTCAAGTCAGGAATGACCTTTGAGTTTTGGAAGTTATCCTTTTGTTGATCTTTTAGGAGTGCCAGGAACCATCTTTTCCTAGTGTTTGTTTCCTCTGTTAGATGCTTTTCTTTTTGTTTGTGTGGGCTTTCAATACTAGCTAGGAAGGGAGATGATGTTTGAATACAGTTGTTATCCTAATTTTATGTACTTTTCCTTTGTTTGGACACATGGGGGGTGGGGAGTTTGAAAATGAGAGGTAGGTGAGTAGAGTTTTCATGGGCAGCTCACATTTTCTTTTAAAAGTCAGATAGAAGTAACTATAAAATGAAAACCCTCTATATCCTTTCAGACATAAATGATAGATTTTACACTTTCACTTCTACAAAACTGGAAAAGAATGCAGATTGCCTTTTCTTTTGTACATGGAATAACTTTAGTATTGCAACATTATTTTACTGAAAGGCTAGGCTTTGTAGATATTCTTAATGATATATATATATATTAAAATATGGACATACCTACTTGTGTTTACTGGTTTGAATAGTTCATTTTTATCAATAGGGTTGGAGACCAAGTTTGCAGTAGTTTATAAATTCTGGAAGCTTAGTCTGCCCTTGGCTCTTCATTTGACCAAGTTAATAATCCCTCTTAGTGTTGTTTGGGTATTTGTGTAATTTTCCTGGTGATTGATAAAGTTCAAGAAGAAACAAAAAGTCGTGGAGGTACTACTTTGTAAAGAAACAAGATAAGCTGCAGAAAAACCTTTTGTTCTTATTGCTGGAATGGAAATAAATATACACGATGGTCTAACTATTTCCTAAGCTAACTCCACAAAATGGGGAGATAATCCTAAGCCTAAACACTGTTAGAGACTTAGTCAAAATTGAAGAGCAGCAGTAAACTAATAGTAAAACTCAACAGTAACTAATGACTAATAAAACAGTAATTAACTAATTCTATCTAACAGCTGTACAAAGCAACTTATGCATTGATACGCCCCCCTCAAGGTAGGCAGTGTGCAACAACACCTAGCTTGAACATGTGTCTGTCGAAGGCTGATTTGGAAAGGGCCTTGGTTAGAGTATCTGCAAGTTGGTCTGCGAATTGTATATGGACAACTTGAACTTGCTTGAGCTGAACCTGATTGCGCACAAAATGGAAATCCACCGCAATGTGTTTCACGCGACTGTGAAAAACAGGATTTGCACATAAATACGTCGCACCAACATTGTCATAGTAGATAGTTGGGACTTTTTGAAATTTAAGTCGCAGTTCTGCGAGAAGATTTGTGACCCAGTTTATTTCTGCAAGAGCACTTGCAACTGCCTGATATTCAGCTTCAGTGGAAGAACGAGCAATCGTTCTTTGCTTTTTGGAGGACCAACTTACAGGATTTTGGCCAATAAACAGAAGGTATCCAGCAGTAGAAGCACGATTATTAAAGTCTCCAGCCCAATCCGCATCAGAGTACATATGTAAAGAGAAATCATTATGGCGCATCAACCGTAAGCCAAGATGAGCAGTCCCTTGAAGATACCTTAGTACCCGTTTGACAGCTTTCCAGTGGATCTCGGAGGGAGTTTGCATAAATTGTGACAGTTTGTTTACTGTAAAACAAATGTCTGGACGAGTGAAAGAAGAATATTGGAGCTTCCCTATCACCCTTATGTATCTGGTTGCATCAGCTAATAATCCGCTATCATTGACCTTGAGTACTTTAGTAGTACTCATTGGAGTTTTAGCAGGTTTGCAATCAACCATGTTCTCCTCACGCAATATATCACGTGTATAGGTACTCTGAGTCATAATAATACCATCCACACTTCTAATGACTTCAATACCTAAAAAGTAGGTGAGAGCTTCAGGATCTTTAACAGAAAATCTAGCTGCAAGGGAAGAAATAATTGATTAACAACTGAAGTATTGCTGCCAGTAACAATAATGTCATCCACATATACCAGTAGGTACACCGTGGCATGACAATGATGACAAACAAAAAGGGAGCCGTATTTTATGAAGCCTAACAGGACCAAATGATTCTTGAGTTCATTGTACCATGCTCGAGGAGCTTGTTTGAGTCCATAAATAGCTTTATGAAGACGACAAATATGGGTTGGACAAGTCTTGTCTTCAAATCCCCGAGGTTGTTCCATATAAACCCTCTCCATCCAAACATCTTTGAAGAAATGCATTATTAACGTCAAGTTGACGCAGAGGCCAATCAAATTTGATTGCAATAGAGAGGACCACACGAATAGTAGTTGGTTTGACTACTGGGCTAAACGTGTCATGAAAATCAACACCGTGACGTTGGGTAAATCCCTTTGCGACCAATATGGCTTTACAACGATCAATAAAACCATCAACTTTTCGCTTTATTCTGTACAGCCATTTACAAGCAATGACATTTTTAGACGGATCAGAAGGTACTAATTCCCACGTGTGGTTTTTACGCAGTGCATCAAATTCAGCTTGCATAGCATTCTGCCACTCTATGTGTTTGCTTGCTTGGTTGAAGGTGCTGGGAGTGACTATAGGTGGGAGGTGAGCCATGTAATCAAAAATTGGTTTTGGTTTATGGGTATTGTGTTGTGAGGGGGTAACGACTCAATTTGGAAGCAAAGGGGAAGGGTGTGGTTCGGGCAAGGTTGGGGCATAGGTGTTCGTTATTGCCGCTGGAGTGGAGCAACGAGAGTACACGAACCGAATAGGAGGTTTTAGCGATGGTGGATAGGATGTTGATGGCAGTTGAGTTGATGGAAAGGGTATTGGAATGGAAGTTCTCTCGACAAGGATGAAGGACAACAGAGGAGAAGATTGTGCATCAGGAAGAGAAGAAAGTGAAAAAGTACCTGGTATTGCAAACTCTGTTGGAGAGCAGTCAGAGGAGACAGTATCATTCGTGTGCCGGATGGTATCTGCATTGGTCAGAATAATAGAAGGCGGTAAATTTGTACAAGGCATAGGAGAAATCATATGAGAAATGTCCTGGTTAGTTGTAACCAAGTCGTCCCAGGCAAGTTGTCTGAAACATGAGGAAATCTTTGAAAACATATACTGGAAAGGAAAAATACTTTCAAAAAATTTGACATCACGAGACAAGTATATTTTTGAAGATTTTGGATCAAAACATTGATAACAATGATAATTTGATGAAAAAGCCAAATAAACACAAGGTGTCGATCGTGGCTCTGATACCAAGTTTGTAACGCCCCGAGACTACCCCCGAGACGCGTACACGGGACCTAGGATCACAAGTGATCCCAAGCTAACCCTGCTGGCATGATCATGAGCATACTAAAGATAATAAACTTATGCGGAAGCTAAATCATAAATAACATGAAAGGATGGGGAATACCCATATACTATAACTGAGATAAATGAAAACTGATGAGTTTAATACAAAGAAGATATTAACTCAATACTAAGCTGAATCTAACTATGTCTGAAATAAGCCTCTAAACTGACTAGAAATGTTGGGACATGCCCCAACTAGGTCTAGCAAAAAAACTGAAACTAAAGACTA